CTTGAGTATTTTAGGAAATACTATGTAAGTAATCCCACTGTTGGGGTCGAAAAATGAAAACACAAGCCTTCATGGTGGGACCTATCTTTTCATAAAAACAATTCATAGCCTCAAACTTTACATTTCAAACGAGGAAAAAATTGGGTGTAGTACTTCTCTATACACAGCCAACGTACATGAGCAGGGACCCACTAGGTGACCGTATACGTACCCCATAGACTTACCCTTTAGCTAGCACACACTCACGCTACTGGAACCATAGAGGAAAAGGAGCCCGCATAATATCATGGCAAAACATAAATATCGTAATGTATGCGTTGGTACTCATTATAATAGGGAAGTATCCCGATGCATGTGACATACAAGATGCATGAGGTCTCATACTATCAATTCATATCATATACATCTGATGCAAGTCATACCTCCATTCTTTTCATATGTAACGTCCTATGATACATGCATACATAACACTTGTTTTATCTTTCATAATCAACATACCTGACTTTCTCAACATACATGACTTTTTAATGTCTCATAGGAAATGAGCGAACGTATTACATATCTTACATGGCATGACATACGGAGGTTCATGCATCATACAATATCGACATTATAACAAAATCCTATAACATAATATTGTCATTACATGACTTACTAAAGTAATTTGCATCACATAACGTAACGTAATTTGCATCACATCATATAACATCATAGCATAAACTTAACATTGCATACGTCAATCATAAAATCATGACATGTGCAAGGGCCACAGGGCATGCATCATTTATACAAGAATCATGCCATCTAACCCGCCAATAAGTAAAGTCACTTACTTCTTCAGCGTAGCTCGAAGTTACTAACTATTGTTGGAACTAACCTAGATCGGCTCCTTTAAATCCAATTTAATCTATGTAGACCCACGACATCGAGTTAGAGCATAATATATGGTTCAATTCATTCAGCGATATCAATTAAATATACTTATTGTTCACACAAATAACTTAAATTGATCAAACAATGGTCATACTATCTCCAATACTCCTAACAAAATTAAAATAGGCTCTAGAATGGTCCAAGATGGTAACACAGGATCTCAAGACTTCAAACAGGTTAGAAACTAAATGGAGTTGCAAAGCCGAGCCAAGCTGTAAGCCAATTGTAGGGGAGTGGCACAACCAAGCCACATGCGAGTTGGTGTCTGATGATGGCTCAAGCACGTGTGTTGTGTCACAGTTGTACTTCTTCAATTGTGTAGTATCGTGATCTTGAAACGCTCACAACAAGCCTTAAGGGGGAACTCAAGCCCCATTTCAGATTTTACGCCCCGCTTTGTGACTTCGTCGAACCGTCAGTGAGGTTTTCCTTTGCCTATCGAACATTATTTGTGTGGAGTCCAAGCTTGTTCGGCCACACACATCGTTCGTGCGTGCATGTTCATTCGTTGCGAAACATCAACGTTACATCTCATTGTCATCTCGGTTGCCAACAACACGATTCATGAATCGTGATGCCAATTGATGTCTTGGGACACATCAAAAATCTTGGCTTGCTCAGACACATCTATTGGGAACTAACCCATGTGTCGATCATCTCATTAGAACATCCTGAACATTCATCCATCCAGGTTCACTCGAGCATCAGACTCTCTTGTTTCCATGCTACAGCCTACATTCTAGATAGCGGGTGCATAATTCGACCTCCAACACATGGACTAGATTGTCTAGTACTATCCTTGAAAGACACTTTTCAAAGGAAAACGCTAGAGACTGCTCATCTTGTGATGCTCGTCCACGCTGTGACACACGTGTGTTTTATAGGGTATCTTGCTTAGGCCACAGGGCCTAGGGGTGGTGGAGAGCAACCATTATGCCTCCCACTATAGTACGTTTTGAGGCATTTCCAATCTTTCTCGAGTATACGTCATTTTGGTGAACGGACATATGATCTCGTGACTAGTTTGCTGAGTATCTGCTTGACACCAAATTTGGCGAGTTTCATCTTTTATATTGATAGACTTAATTCCCGAGTCGAATGTTGAAATTCATATCGAAACTCCAACTTCTGAGGTTATGGCCTCAGGCCTTACTCGACCCTTTTCGAACTTGTCTTTGACACTCTTGTCGCCTCGTTCTTTCGAACCTTACGTATGCCTCGACTTAACTTCAATGCACACTCTTGGTATGTTGGATGATGTATTATTCTCCTTGATCGCATTATGACACTTCTCAATTTTTGCCCAAATGTGGCCCCTTGTTTGTCTTCCATGTGGGGTCACAATCTACTTTCTCTTAGTGAGGTTATGACATTCTCCCCTACTTAACCTAGTCATCGTCTTCAATGACTTTCTCAGGGGCACAATCGTTATCGTCGATTGTGACATTCTCTCTCACTTAATCTCAGGATCGTCCCAAAGACGACCCAAATATTGGACTGGCTGCTTGCTTGACTTGCTGACTTGTTTGTGCTTTCAAAATGAATACAGAAACTTGCACACTTATGGGTTATCCAACTATTGGAGCTTCTCTTGGTCTTCGAGACTCACAACATAAACACAAAATAAATACAACTTACACAATGGTTTTGGGCTATCCCTCTATGGACCTAACTTCATTTACTCTTTGACTCGGCCTAGGACTCACCAAAAAAACCACGACAAAAATTGGCATCGACATTCTCTCTTGAGCTAGGGGGAGCACGCCCCAAACTTGGCTATCATGACCTAAACCATCGTATTCTTTGAGTTACATAGAGATCCGGAAACGACATTCTCTTGTCTTGGTCCACATCCCTTTTTGGAAGCAAAACATTAAAGCTTGTAGCTCAGCCCCATGATGACACTACACTTCAGCCAACTTCTCAACTAGTCACCTTCATGTCGACACTTCTCTGGTCTTGATGCAGCTTCATTCACTGTGTCACCCACGTCCAACTTGATGCTCTTTTCTTGAGCAGATATTGGTCTCGACACTCTTGTGAAGCCACCCACCTTAGGCACTAGGTGATGGCTCAAGAAACACACGTGGAGCACTTTTATGGAGTGAGCAAGCCATTCTCTTGATCTCTCCCCCAATTAGCTCAACTGTCTCTCTTGTAGCGACGTCATCCACCCATATGGACTTGCATTATGCACATTTAGCACTTGGCTTGTGCATGTTTCATCTTGACCCCCGACTTTTTTTCTTTCAACCATTGCCATTATTCCTCTAATGAGAATGACTCTTCGAAGGCATCGGCCTAGTACACCTTCTGATTCGCTTTCTGCCCATTTGAACTCCCAAGCCCTCAACAAATAAGCTTGGTTTGTGCTTTACTAATGGGTAAGACTCTTTCTCATGGAGTCCGGCTTTTGACCTTCAAAGAAATTCTTGATTTTGATTCCCAACTAACTTGCCCAACCTGACACTCGTGACGCACCTGCAAAGTCTTCATTCAAACATGAGGTTCATCTGTCTTGTCTACAACTCTAATACCAACTGTCACGATTTAACTTCTTCAATCATGTAGTGTCATGATCTTGACACGCTCATGACAAGCCTTAAGAGGGAACTCAAGCTCCATTTTAAATTTTTTACCCGACTTGTGGCTTTGTTGGACCAGTGACGAGGTTTGTCTTTGTCTACCTAACATCGCTTGTGTGAAATTCAAGCTTGTTCAGCCAGACACACCGTTTGTGCGTGCATGTTTAATCATTGTGACACACCAACATCGCATCTCATTGTCATCTCGATTCCAAAAAACACGATCCATACATTGTGATGTCATCCTATGTCTCGGGACATATCGACAATCTTGGCTTGCTCAGACACATCCATTGAGAATTGACCTATGTGTTGACTGGGACATCCTAAACATCCATCCATCTGGGTACACTCGAGCATCAGATTCTCCTGTGTCTATGCTACAACATACGTTCTAGATAGCGGGTGCATATTCCAACCTTTGATACATGTGTTGGACGCAATATCGACACACTTGTGTCATCGATACTATCATTGAAAGACCCTTTTCAAAGTAAGACGCTCAAGACCGCTCGTTCCATGATGCTCGCCTACGCTGTAACACACGTGTGTGCCATTGGGTAGCTCGCTTAGGCCATAGAGCCAAGGGTGGTGGCGAGCCAACACCTTGCCTCCCTGTATAATACATTTTGAGGCATTTCCAATCTTTCTCGAGTTGACGTCCTTTTGGCAAGCAGACATATGACCATGCATAGTCTGTCGAGTGTCCATTTGATAAAAATTTTGGTGAGCTTTCATGTTTCATATCACAGACTGAATTTTCGAGCTGCATGCTAAAACTCATATCGAAACCCCGACTTCTGAGGTTATGAGCCAGGCCCTACTCGGTCCTCTTTGAGCTTGTCTTTGACACTCGTGTCACCTTGTTCTCACAAACCTTGCATATGTTGAAATTAAATTGCTCTGATACCAATTTGTAGAAAAATAAAGCTGCAACGATACCAACTTGAGAGAAAAAAACGCTCGCTCTGAATCTAACTTGTTTAGATAACTCTCACGAAACTTTAAAGGGGGTGTCGAAAGAAAAGAGACAAGGAGAAAAAGAAATTTCCCAAAAAGGGTTTGTATTACACACAACTCAGATTGCTCTCTATTTTTTCTCTCTATGTTATTACATCGATAAATGAAGCCTTTTTATCAGTTCCAGTGAGGCCAAAATTGGCCTTAACTACCCATGATTTTCTCACCCATTTTCTCTCCATTCATTCATTTTCTCACTCATTAGCTCTCTTTTCCATAATTATGCTCTTTTGACTGAATTAAAAGAAAAACCAAAACAAAAAAATCATTTAAGTTTATTTTCCAACAAAACTCTCTCATATAAACTTAAATGCTTCTACTCAATCATTCCTCCTGCGCCGTTTTCGTTTTTTTCGATCTCAATTGTAGTTTCTTCAATTTTCTCTTTTTGTCCTCGAGCGAAAAAATGGGATTGTCCTTCTCTGGAGAGACTTCATTTGGATCTTCTCAAGAACAGCCCATTTAAGGCTCCAACTCTTCATTTCTCCAGTTCTCAGCCACGCTTGACTCAAACATCACGGCTTCATTCAGTTTACTCAATTCTCTTTGTAAGTCCACAGTGACCTTTACCGCTAGCATTCTTGTTTCCTCCAATTTGGTTTTATCATGATTGAGTGTCTCAATCGTGTGTCGTAAATTCACTACCTTCTGTTGGACTTGATCCAGGTTCACTTCAACTAAATCTCTCTGTTGAGTTAACATCTCTATATCTTTCTTCTCCCTCACTAGCTCGTCCACTAGTCCCTCAATCTTCATGAACAGGTCTTTCTCTTTCTTCACAACTTCTTCAACTTTCTTCGTAAGATCAGAGATTATCTTCTCATTCTTTTCCTTCCCCTGTTTTAGACAAAAGGAACTCTTACTCAACTCAGTCATTTATTTCTCTAACCTTTCAACTTTTGTTTCCAACTCTTTCTTTTCTTCTTCAATTTTCATCCTCTTTCTTCTTTCTACCTCAAATTGCTTTTTCGACCATTGGAGCTCTCTCTCTTCGAGCTCGAGTTCTCTATTCTTCGGTTGTTCATCATTCTTCGATTTTCTCGTCTCTGATACCGCGATTTTGCCAAATTTGCTGCGTATCAGAACATTTCTGATAGATTCTACCACCTTAAGACTACCGCTGTCATCTTTTGCACCACCGTCTCCTTTTGTGTTCGACTCTTCATTTTGAGCCATCAAGAGGATGCCTCCATTTGTTGTGTCATCCAAAGCTAGGTTGATGGTTTCTTCCATCTTCTCTTTGGCTCGACAATCTCTCGCATAGTGACCTATTCTACCACAATTGTAACAGTTTCTGGAGTTACAATTATTTGCATAGTGACCATATTTCTGACATTTAAAGCACTAGATGTTGGAATTGGTTACAATTATTTGCATAGTGGCCATATTTTTTCATTTAAAGCACTAGATGTTGGAATTGTATCCTTCACTGCGCTCTTGATTGCGTCCTCTTCCACGCCAATTTTCTTGGCTCGATAGTCTCTTACGTTCTAGCGGCTTCTGTTAAAATATTATCACTAGCCCAACAGAGTCAACCCAATAATTGTTGTAGCCATTGTATATTTATTTTAGTACAGATTTTAGGGAAGAGATCTATATATTTTAGGAGAGAGATTTAGATATTTTAGAAAAAATATTCAGGTTTGTTAGCTCTACATTTAGATTTGTTAGATTAAGCTATAGTATAAATACCCCTCCACCCTACCTAGGTTATTCATCCAAGAAACACAAAGAAAACAATAAAAAAAAGTAGTAGCATTCTATAGAGTGTCTTGTATTCTCTTCTCGATTGGTCTAATAAAGAGTGCGAGTGTTTCCCACAAAGAGTTGTGTTCAACATTTGGTATCAGAACGAGGTTAGTGTAGATTATCTGATCTGTTGTAGGGGTGTACACCCAACCCAAAAACCCGAGAACCCAACCCGACCCAACCCGAAATATAAGGGTTGGGTTGGGTTATGTTGGATTTTGGGTTTGGGTTGGGTCCATTTTTTTTAACCCGATTTGATTTGGGTTGGGTTGGGTACCAAAAGAAAATGATTGGGCCAACCCGGCCCAACCCAAAAATATTAAAAAAAAAAAAATTAAAGCCCAAAGGCCTAAAGTCAAAGCAAAATCTACGATTTATTTAGTCTCTGACCAAACCCCAAGCCCAAGCCCAAACATTCTTCTGCAATTCATCTTACTCTAGTACTTCATTTTACTCAATCCATTTCTCTACAATTCATTTTAATCTTCATTTTACAATACTTCATTTTACTCAATCCATTCCTCTACAATTCATTTTACACTCTAATTCATTTTACTCTGCAATCCATTCCTCTGTACTTCATTTTACACTATAATACATTTTACTCTGCAATCCATTTCTCTGTAATTCATTTTACTCTGCAATTCATTCCTCTGTACTTCATTTTACACTATAATTCATTTTACTCTACAATTCATTTCTCTGTAATTCATTTTACTCTGCAATCCGTTCCTCTGTACTTCTGCAATCCATTCCTCTGTAATTCATTTTACTCTACATTTCATTACTCCACAATTCATTACCTCTGCAATTCGTATCCTCTACAATCCGTTACTCTATCATTCATTTTACTCTGCAATCCGTTCCTCTACAATTCATTTTACTCTACAATCCACTACTCTGCAATTCATTTTACTTTGCAATTACTTTTACTCTACAATCCATTCCTCTTCAATTCATTTTATTCTGCAATCCGTTCCTCTATAATTCATTTTACTCTGCAATTCATTTTACTCTCATTTTTTCTACAATTCATTTTATTCTACAATCCATTACACTGCAATTCATTTTACTTTGCAATTACTTTTACTCTACAATCTATTCCTCTACAATTCGTTTATCTATAATTCATTTTACTCTGCAATCCGTTCATCTGCAATTCATTTTACTCTTTTACTCTGTAGTTCATTTTACTCTCCAATCCACTACTCTGCAATTTATTTTACTTTGCAATTACTTTTACTCTACAATCCAATCCTCTGCAATTTGTTCTTCTATAATTCATTTTACTCTGTAATTCATTGTACTCTGCAATCCATTCTTCTGCAATTCGTTCCTCTGTAATTCATTACTCTGCAATTCGTTTCCTCTACAATTCATTTTCCTCTGCAACTTATTTTACTTTGTAATTCATTTTACTCTACAATTCATTTTACTCTACAATTCATTTTATTCTGCAATCTATTTCTCTACAATTCATTTTACTCTGTTACTCTGTAATTCATTTTATTTTCCTCTGCAATTTATTTTACTTTGTAATTCGTTCCTCTGTAATTCATTACTCTGCAATTCGTTTCCTCTACAATTCATTTTCCTCTGCAACTTATTTTACTTTGTAATTCATTTTACTCTACAATTCATTTTATTCTGCAATCTATTTCTCTACAATTCATTTTACTCTGTTACTCTGTAATTCATTTTATTTTCCTCTGCAATTTATTTTACTTTGTAATTCATTTTACTCTACAATTCATTTTATTCTGCAATCTATTTCTCTACAATTCATTTTACTCTGTTACTCTGTAATTCATTTTATTTTCCTCTGCAATTCGTATCCTCTGCAATTTATTTTACTTTGTAATTCATTTTACCCTACAATTCATTTTATTCTGCAATCTATTTCTCTACAATTCATTTTACTCTGTTACTCTGTAATTCATTTTACTCTGTACTTTATTTTATTCTACAATTCATTTTACTTTGCAATTACTTTTACTCTACAATTCGTTTCTCTATAATTAATTTTCCTCTATAATTCATTTTACTTTGTAATTCATTTTACTTTGCAATCCATTCCTTTTACTTTTGTAATTCATTTTACTCTGTAATCCATTCCTCCCTCTACTGTCATTCCTCCCTCTATTGCATTCCATTCATTTTACTCTGCAATCCATTCCTTTTCTATAATTAATTTTCCTCTATAATTCATTTTATTCTGTAATTCATTTTACTCTGCAATCCATTCCTTCATTCTCTATAATTAATTTTCTTCTATAATTCATTTTACTCTGCAATCCATTCCTTTTACTTTGTAATTCATTTTATTCTACCATTCATTTTACTCTGCAATCCATTCCTCCCTCTACTGCATTCCATTCATTTTACTCTGCAATCCATTCCTTCTCTATAATTAATTTTCCTCTATAATTCATTTTACTCTGCAATCCATTCCTCCCTCTACCGCCATTCCTCCCTTTAATGCATTCCATTCATCTGTAATTCATTTCTCTCTCTATTGTAATCCAATTATTTGTAATTAATTTTCCATTTATTTGTAATTCATTTTATTCTACAATTCATTTTACTCTGCAATCCATTCCTCCCTCTACTGCATTCCATTCATTTTACTCTGCAATCCATTCCTTCTCTATAATTAATTTTCCTCTATAATTCATTTTAGTCTGTAATTCATTTTACTCTGCAATCCATTCCTCCCTCTACTGCTATTCCTCCCTCTACTGCATTCCATTCATCTGTAATCTATTTCTCTCTCTATTGTAATCCATTCATTTGTAATTCATTTTCCATTTATTTGTAATTCATTTTATTCTACAATTCATTTTACTCTGCAATCCATTCCTTCCTCTACTGCATTCCATTCATCTGTAATCCATTCCTCTCTCAATTGCAATCCATTCATTTGTAATCATTTTACTTTATAATTCAATTTATTCTGTAATTCATTTTACTCTATAATTCGTTCTGCAATCCATTCCTCCCTCTACTGCATTCCATTCATCTGTAATCCATTCCTCTCTCTCAATTGCAATCCATTCATTTGTAATCATTTTACTTTATAATTCAATTTATTCTGTAATTCATTTTACTCTGTAATTCGTTCTACTCTGTAATTCATTTCTCTCTCTACTAAAATCCATTCACCTATAATACATTTTACTCTGTAATTCATTTTAGTTCGCACTTCATTCCTTTCTTTACTACAATCTATTCATCTGTAATTCATTTTACTTGCAATTCATTTATTTTACTCTGCAATTCATTCCTCTCTTTACTGCAATCTATTCATTTGTAATTCATTTTACTCTGCAATTCATTTTTCCCCCTACCTCCTTGCAATCTATTCATTCATTCCTCTCGAACCTCTCTGCAATCCATTTCTCTCTCAACCTCTCTGCAATCCATTCATCTATTCCTCTCCCTACAATCCATTCCTCTGCAATTCATTCCTCTGCAATCCATTTTACTCTTCATTTTACTCTACAATCCATTCTTTTGTACTTTATTTTACTCTACAATTGATTTCCTCTACAATTCATTTTCCTCAGCAATCTTTCTTCTCTAATTCATTTTACAATACAATTCATTACTCTGCAATTCATTTTCCTCTACAATTTGTTTCCTCTGCAATCCGTTACTCTACAATTCATTTTACTATGCACTTCATTCCTTTCTTTACTGCAATCTATTCATCTGTAATTCATTTTACTTACAATTCATTTATTTTACTCTGCAATTCATATTTTACTCTGCACTTCATTCCTTTCTTTACTGCAATCTATTCATCTGTAATTCATTTATTTTACTCTGCAATTCATATTTTACTCTGCACTTCATTCCTTTCTTTACTGCAATCTATTCATCTGTAATTCATTTATTTTACTCTGCAATTTATTCCTCTCTTTGCTGCAATCTATCATTTGTAATTCATTTTACTCTGCAATTCATTTTTCCCCCTACCTCCTTGCAATCTATTCATTCATTCCTCTCGAACCTCTCTGCAATCCATTCATCTATTCCTCTCCCTACAATCCATTCCTTTGCAATTCATTCCTCTGCAATCCATTTTACTCTTCATTTCACTCTACAATCCATTCTTTTGTACTTTATTTTACTCTACAATTTATTTCCTCTACAATTCATTTTCCTCAGCAATCTTTCTTCTGTAATTCATTTTACTCTACAATTCATTACTCTGCAATTCATTTTCCTCTACAATTTGTTTCCTCTGCAATCCGTTACTCTACAATTCATTTTACTCTACAATTCATTTTACTCTACAATTTATTTTACTATACACTTCATTCCTTTCTTTACTGCAATGTATTCATCTGTAATTCATTTTACTTACAATTCATTTATTTTACTCTGCAATTCATATTTTACTCTGCACTTCATTCCTTTCTTTACTGCAATCTATTCATCTGTAATTCATTTATTTTACTCTGCAATTCATATTTTACTCT